ATATTTGGTGCACTTACTCTAATAATAAAATCTTATAAATATGCGGGATTTAATTATTGCTCGCTTTGGTTGTTTTAACCCCTCCGAAACTAATTTATTAAAAATAACCTGGGTGTATCTGGCGAGCCATCGGACGCCGCCATAAATAACGAAATATCAATTATGAATATCTAAGTTGGCTCTCGTGAAACAAACGGCAATCGTCGCCGGTATGGATACGCCTTCTCAGTCATCGCCTGCTTGATGATCCCGGCCACGGAAAATGGTAGCGATATTCTCTGAATAATTACCTGCACAAAAACAAATACAACGGTTCCGACGGTAAAAAAAAGTATTAAATGAAACGCGAATCGATATCGTGTACCTATAATGTTTTTGTTGTTTGGGTTGTATTTTTGAGCGTTTGTTTTGAGGTTGTTTTTGTTTTCTTACAAATAATGGAAAATAGGAGGAAAACGTTAAATTTCGAGAAAAAAAATCGGATATTCCGAACCACCCCGAATTTATTCGATTAACAACTCGCGCTAAAATCGCAAACAAGAGACGGGCTGTTAACAAATTAGAGCGACTTCACCCTCTTTTCGATCGGCTTCTCTCTCGACGCATTGGCCACATAATGCGGCATTAAAATATTCAAATAAAAAAAAAATCTCTCACGCTTCGCATCCATTCTTCGCCGTCCGCACTCGCAAACATCCTTCCACTTTTCACACAGGGTGTCAATCAGTCGACCGACAGGGGTGGTTTTTCAATAAAAGCCTCCCGGCACCCGAAAAACCGGCGATCCCCAGCGGCGTCCCCCTCAAATTTTTCCACCAATATTCCTCCTAAAATTGAACTTAAAATTATTTTTTTAAAGAATAAAGTGGCACTTAATAAGAGGGTCGGCAAATAAAGAAATTGAATCCTACACTATTCTACACTATCCTACACTATCCTACACTATCCTACACTATCCTACATTATCCTACAGTATCCTACATTATCCTACAGTATCCTACACTACCCTATGCAAACCTACACTATAACTCTACGCTTTTGCCAAGATAATTTGACCCTACACTATCCTACACTATCCTACACTATCCTACTCTCTCCTACACTATCCTATACTACCCTACACTACCCTACACTATCCTACTCTATCCTACACTATCCTACCCTACCCTACGCAAACTTACACTATAACTCTTCGCTTTTGCCATGTCGTCCTTTTAATTTTATGATTTTAATAATGATGCCCTTGCGAAACCCCCGCCGCTGTTGAGTGGCCCGAAATCGGCTCATCTCGGCCGGGATAGAGCGACCCTGCGGCACCCTTTCCGGCTCGCTTGTAATGAATATAATAACAACAACGTTCTTCTAATAATTACCAATTCTTACAGATATAAAAAGCGCAACGAGCAGGACGGCAGGCCGACAGGGGCGAGGGGCGTTCGTTTGTGAAATTGGGCCTTTGTCGAGCTGCGGCCGGAGGGGCGCAAGGAGATTTCGGTTTTTAATTAAAATACTTCGCGTCTGGCGATGGGTAGACCGTGCCCATATGGGGGGATGATTGTATTAAAGTCGATGTTTAGTGGTGGTTTTTAAACGGGCTATAAATGCGCACGTTTAGGGTGAATATATCCGATGACAAAACGCTAGGTAATCAAGTAATTGTGTACCACTTTAATTAGTAAATATCTCGGAAAACTAAAAGAGTCGCCAAATTGAATATTTTCCTTGATCCTCTCCAAATTGCACGGCTGTTTACGCTCCACTTCTGCCCGATGCACCAGTCGAAGGCGGGCGGAAAAGATGGAAGGACCAAAAAAATATATAGGAGAAGATTTATCGAGGAGCGGCGGCGGTCTTCCCGCCAGCAAATAAATAACACGAAATCCTGGATGATCCGCGGACAGAGCTACATAATCCCGGCTGGCGAGAGATCGAACCTTTCCTACGTCGACAATGGAAACAATGAGTCTGGAGTAGCGGAAAGTTTCGCGTTGCCCGGACAATGGAGTCCGCGTATACGCCTGAAAAATTGCCGTCCTGGCTCTGGAATTTTTAATATCAATCGCCGAATCGGCGCGGAGGGTCGTCGCGCGAATTGCATTGTCGCTGTTTTGCATGTGGGCGCTCCGTAATTAAATTCGTTTTTAAAACATTGTATTACGGGAGTTGTGGCGATACAAGATTTTAAAACGTCAACTTTACTTTTAATATTTCAAACTTACCGGCGATAACACTAAATAAAAAGATAATTTAAAGAATAAACAAGCAATTAAAAGAGAGGAAGCTGTCCCAATGTTTACTGTAATAACTTCGTACGGGTTTTAATGAATATTTATGGAAGTAGATCAGGCGATCTGCGTATTACTGCGACTCGCTGTTAGTAAGGGGTATCGTGCATCATCGCGATTGCATATAGGTACAAACGGCAGCGAAATTTCATTCAAACGTCGACTTTATCAATTTTTAAGCGCGCACTTGAAGTAGATAAGCCTTTATTTGAGCCCAATCGATTGAAAATCTAATTCATTTAAGTGCCAATTTTGAAATATTATCTCATGTATTAGTTATAGCTACTCATCATTTCACCAAAAATATGTTGAAGTGGTATTAAGAGTCCTGTTAGAATTATTAACAAATTAATTATTAATTACATCATACCATCTACCTCTTTATAGTATACAATTTAAAAAATATATATTTTATGATACTTCTCAAAATAATTATTATAGATCTCCAGACTGTTTTGTTGTAGAATTCCAAAATTATATTGGTATTAATATTAAAATTCAATAATTTAAACCCTATTTTCCCCCTACACTTTTATCGTTTCTAAAGGAGCCCATATCTTATTTTAAAGACATCTCTATAGAATAGTAACTTCTTTATCTTTATAGGAAACGAATAATGCGAGTAAAAAAGCGCTCAAAACGATATCTAAAGCTGCATTGTGACTACAAACCAGGTACGTATCCAAATAATTTATTATTAAAATTACAATACAACATTTAATCCGCTATTAAATACCATAAAAACGTAGAATAATCCTCCAGCATATATTCCTTCAAACGGCTCGATAGAAAACATTCGTTATACGATAAAATCTAGGCACCTTATCTAACCGGGAATTTCGATCCGGATACGGCCCTGGATCGGACGCCAGGCGTCGCCGCCGTCGTCGGAATACCGATAAGTGAAATAAATTTAAAAGTTTCGCCGGCCGAAGAGCGCGATAACGGATTTAATGAACCCTATCGTCTAGGAGGCCGCGCGAATGCCTGAGTGGCTGTGTAACCGACTAACAAAGACCTTAATTTATGGAGACACCTAGCCTCCTGCGATCGCCGGGTCGCCTGGAAACGCACGACCTGTCAATGTGTCACTTCGCTGGATTTTGATTGCGACCTTTCCGGTGCTCGCCATCTTTTAATGAACTGGTTAATGAAGCATGGAAAGTTTTGTGGAGCTTTTTTGAATGATATGTGGATATAGGTTTTATCTATCGATATTTTTTATTTATTTATTTATTGATTAGAGATTTTTGTGTCTGGTAGAGTCTGGTATAGTCTGGTAGAGTCTGGTATTAATTACATGATTCTAATAGAAACCTATAAATAAGGAATATAATATATTTTTTTCGTAACTATAGGCACAATATTTAAGTTATCAAACATAGTTTTGAAATGTCTCTTAAATGGTCGAAGAAAATAAAAAGAGGCTTCAAAATGTCCATTCTACATACCAGAATAAAATTTTACATAACTTCTATAATCTCCTATTACCCTAGATTATGGGCTATTTACTACTAATACTCCAATAAAAAAACGGTCCAATTCATCTATAAAAGTACACTTTAGTAATCATTTTCTGTATATAAACGCGTATTAAGTAAACACGGGAGCTATAAAAAATAATCAACAAAATATAACCCAACTAAATATCCTGATAAATTTCATTTCCTTTTACCATTTAATTTACAGAGCTGATGCAACGCCATTCATCATCGTTTGCTTGATCCCCGAAAGAAGAAATCGGCTGTGTATAGGTGTATTTTTCCACCTGTTCATACAGAACGATAAATTTCTTCGGTCACTATAATAGCACTCGTCTGTGTCGAAGAAAGCAAAAGGAAAAAACCGACCATTGAATGAAGCAAATTCAAATTCCAAAAAATATTATGTTAATTCTGGATGTACATCTTTCTATACGGTTTGGTTTCTGAACCATGGGCGGGCAGGAGCGCTTTTATTACAACGATAACTTAGCAATTTAATATCGAAGAAGATGGAATTGTTAAATAGTTTTTTGAATAAATGATGGATTCTGAACGGAGTGGCATGTTTTGGTCGATTTCTTATTTAAATTTGATGGGAAATTTTGAGGGATTTTCGGATTAGAATGGGCAGTGCGTCTATGAGTTATCATAAGACGTCTGGAATTCTCATAGTGGGCCGCGATACGGCCATTATAGCATTTATTTACGATCGACCGGTGAATAAAAAAAAGAAAAAGGGGCCCATGGTTGGTCCTCCATCATCTTTTTACATAATGGAAGAATGGATTTATGTCATTTTTCGGGCGGTATCAAAAGTTCCCAGTTTTGGGCTCGGGATGCTCGCCGGTCGCAAGTTCTTCATATAATGGCCCTTTTTTGATTTTCGGCGTTACGATAAAAATATTATCCCAAGGATTAATAGAAATATTCCTTTTCCGTTTATAAAAGGTTTTATCTCTAATCTTTGCAATTAGTCATCAGACATTTTATTAAAAATTAAACTAAATTTTGTTACTTATTTAATTGTTTCTATGGGAAAGATGGTTATCAATGTTAATCCTAATACAAAACGGTAAATTTTCCAGTAAAAATAGGTATGATTTATTGGTAATTTTATTATTGTAGATTTATCTAACCTAAGCATTAATTGACAATACATTCAAGTAATCCTTAAATTTTTTTACGATAATAAGGATTAAAATGATAATGGACTAACTATATAAAGTTAATAAGAAAAGATACTCAATAAAAATTTACATAATTTTTAAAACATTTCAGTTTAACAGATCACAATAGAGTTATAGGAAATGTTTAATATTCGCATTTTTATCGCAGCCACTATTTGTGCTTCGATTATTCGTAAGTTTGTTTTCTACACTTCAAGTCTCTTCATTCTTTAAATCGATTTTTTCAACAGCTAGCGCTCTATCGGCTTCTTGCATCCTTGGTTCGCTTATTCCTCATGAATCGGACTGCTCTAAGTTCTATCAATGTTCCCCTTGGGGGCCTCAAGAAATGTCCTGTGCTCCTGGAACACTATTTAATCCGAAAATAGGTGTGTGCGATTGGCCAAGTCAGGTTGAATGCGTTAAATCAACAACAACTACCACTGAAAGGACAACAACCACTACTGAAACTACTGTTCCTACAACTACAACAACAGAAGCTTCCACTACTGAAGAAACAACAACAACGACAACGGAAGCTTCTACTACTAAACAGACAACAACTACAACAGAATCTTCTACTACTGAAGTAACATCAACTACTACAGAAGTTTCTACAACTGAAGCAGAAGATGTTACAGAAGAAACTACGGAAGAGAATACAGAAGAAACAACAACGGCGGCAAGTAGTACAACAAAAAATCCTGAAACAACCAGGGTACCTACTTCCGAAGCAACAACTGCGACAGCTCCTCCTACTACAACTGAAGACTCTGAATTAACCACTGAAGAATCAGAAACAGCCACTGAGGAAAGTACTACAACAGCAGCTCCAACTACTACAACAAGAGAACCTGAAACGACTAAGGCACCAACTACTGAAGCAAGTACTACAACTCAAGCTCCAACTACTACAACTAGAAAACCTGAAACAACTAAGGCACCAACTACTGAAGCAAGTACTACAACTCGAGCTCCAACTACTGAAGCAATTACTACAACTCGAGCTCCAACTACTGAAGCAAGTACTACAACTCAAGCTCCAACTACTACAACTAGAAAACCTGAAACAACTAAGGCACCAACTACTGAAGCAAGTACTACAACTCGAGCTCCAACTACTACAACTAGAAAACCTGAAACAACTAAGGCACCAACTACTGAAGCAAGTACTACAACTCAAGCTCCAACTACTACAACTAGAAAACCTGAAACTACTAAGGCACCAACTACTGAAGCAAGTACTACAACTCGAGCTCCAACTACTACAACTAAAGCTACAACTACTACAACTAAAAAACCTGAAACAACCACTAAAGCACCTACTACAGGCACTACTGCTTCACCGACAACAACTAGTAAACCGGACGACGAGGTATTGTATAATTTTCAGGCGAATTTATAGAAGAAAGCGATCAATTATTTTTTTTATTTCAGGACGAATTAAAAACTATTTGTTCCGGTTACTCAGGAATGGCGTTCGTCGCACATCCTCACGACTGCCACAAATTGATATTTTGCTCCAAAGGAGTACCTCGTGTAATGGATTGCCCGAAGGGCCAAAATTACGACCCAAAAACGAGGAGTTGCTCTTGCTCCGCACCGTGTAACAAAAAATAATATTTTCGTGCAACGAGTATAGTATAGATTTCTAACAGCATTTTATGTATTAGTGATATTTGTTCAAACTACTGTCAAATTTATAGAACGTAAAATAAACGTTTCCATTTTAAACTGTCGCCACGCTTTATATATTCTCACCCCGTAACGCTCCAAATGTGCACCATATGCCTCCTTCACAACATACCTTCTCTTAATTCTCACCCACTACGACCAATTTACTCGGTAATTTCCTAACAAGAAATTTAATAAGTCAATTCTGCAGGAAGTTACCCCTTTTTCTCCGAACCCTTACTAGAGACACCGCTCCACTCATAATCTAATATGTCCCTTAAGTTTCACCCTCTGCTCCTCCTTTGCCCATAAATAACGCTGTCTAAATGTTATTTTTGGCAAAGCAAACTAAATTCCTTCACAAACTCATTATCAGATGCCGAAGGAGCAATTCTTGACAGCGTTGTCGCTTTATTCTCGCTCGGAAATTTCACACCGAGAAACTTCAATCTCTCGAATTTAGAAGAATTATTTCATCGATAATTATTGTGCAATTGTGCAAAATAATTTTGTTGGTGAAATATACAAATTGCTCGTCTACTATCGCTTTGAAAGTCAAGACCACACTGGGGTGTATTTTACGGATTTACAACGACAAGACGGAACGTCTGACAACTGGGCGAGACATTCCAGGAGTGCGTCGCATCCTTATCTGATAACCGACTGGAGGATCCGGTGGCGTTGCAATATCAGGATAACTCGGCTGCTGTCAACGAGGATTCCTGGCCCGAGTCAGGAATGCGAATATTGTCGAGCGCTTCCTGCCGGAGCTCCCAGCAGGAGCGGGCTCGATGATCTGATTTATTCGCTGCTAAATTGACGTTGAAGTCGACAGGAGCTCGACGATGGGGAATTTTTTATTTCGAAACGCGCGCAATTAAATATTGAAATGTAGGTAAATAGCGCCTATAGGAAATTTACTGTTTCATTTTATATTCTACATGACAATTTTGAACTCCAGAATCATTTAGATCGCTTCAGAACGAATCATAATTATTATCTAAAACCATTTAGAACTGTTTAGAATGATTTAGAACTGTCTTAGAATTGCCCAGAATCATTAGGACGAATCAGAATTGACTAAAATCATTTAGAACTCCATGTTCGAGCTAATATAGTGGGATATTATTATTAAAAAATATTTCGTAGTGATACTAGCTGAAACTATAATCTCCAAAATTAATCGCGGACCTATCCCGGTTCTCATTAATGAAAACTTCGAGACGAACGTGAATAATTACAGCGATCTTCATTAGCCGATATCTTTGTCATCGGGGATATTTGCATTTTAATTTGAGTCGATGCGAATGAGAGGTAAGAGCAAAAAAGACGCCGCGAATGCGGGGTATAAGTATCGAGTTATGTTTCATTTAGCGTCGTTATCTCCATTTTCGATCTAAGAGTCCGCGTATATTTCATGTAACCAGCAAGCAGATCACCTGGATCTCTTCTCGCTCGTATATGCGTGCTTATGAAAATCCTTATCTCGCTCGCTATCTTATTATCTTAAGCTCTTTACATTGTTTGAGTAAATATGGTTAGACGAAACTATTTCATCGCGCTGTCGTGAAATAATTAAAAATCGGCGCTCGTTTAATTTGCTCGTGGGATTTGTGGGTAATTATAATTAATTAACCTGTAATTAGAGCGAAACAGGGATTATAAAGTCTGATGTAATGGTTAGTAAAATTAAATATACCTACTTTAAGATGATGAAGTTATTAATTTTACAATTATAATTTACAACTCTACTAATAAATTCAATTATTGTTTACACAATTTATTGCCTATAATTTAATAATACTTTATACGAAATAAAACATTTTATATAGTTATAAATCAATGTATAAATAATAGAAATTTTATCGTTTAATCTATACTAATTTCAACACAATACAATGTAAAACGAACTACCGAATCAATTCTTTCAACTCTTGGTTAATTGAAAATTCCTAATTAAATCGGAAATTAAATTTGTTTTTGTTCGCAATTCGCCAGAAAAAAAAAATAAGAGCACATTTCGGATCTCATTCGATCAAATCGAATGATGAGAATCGAGAAAATAAAACAAAAAATAATAAATTACAGTCTTTCGGAAGACGATTCCCCGCAGGAAAACAATAAAATTAACGACTCATGACACAGTAGATGGCAAAGGACCCATCTATCGCTTCGAACATGCGGAAGATTTACAATCTAAGGGTTGGATTTATGGGGTTGTCACCTCAGCGCAGTCGGACGACTCGGCCAAGGGCGCAATCCGCTATCGCGAGCGCCATTTCATTAACGAAACCGAAGCTAATTCTTATTACGAATTAGAATTTTAATGCAAACGTTTGGGAGAGAATCATTACCTGCACCGCTATCTTTTAACGACGTTGTCGGCGTATTTCGCGCAAGAACAAGCGTCGCCCGAAATTGTAACAGCCTCTGATACCGAAACAATTACTTCCTTTGTTATATAAATTCTCGGACAAAATGTTTTTGTAGTCCTTGCGGTAGAAGAAAATCCCGAAGAAATGTCTTTTGAGTCTCGAATTTTTTTGGTGTTAGCTCAATCAAATCTTATTATATCAATTCGAAAATTGCGCAAAATGGTGATTAATTTAGTCGGTATATAGTAGTAGTATATACCGCTTCTACTAGTCGCGAAAAGGCGCAATTCGGGCCTTAATCGTCTCCCAGGTGCAATAATAATTAAGAAAATTCGCTTAACGGTCGTGATGGGCCATTGCTGGGGCCGTAACGCAGTAAAAACGACGGGGTAGAGGGAGTCCGTTCAAGAGACAACGACGATGATAACTATAAATTCATTAGCACCGTTCTGACTACGCTTTAAAACTAATTAGACTTATGGTTATGTGTGTAGAAGGGTACTGTACTTCCGCGCGTAAAATGGTAATTTGGGATTTTTTATTGATGAATTAATTGCTGGACTAAACCGAATATAAACATCAGTATATGTATATTTTTTAAATAAGTGAGATTTTAATAATATTAATAATGCCAATTAAAGTCTACATGAAATCCTACAATTTTGCTAAAATGTTTACATTTCTCCTAAAGTTAGGCAATACACATTGCACAATTCGCACATGTATTTTCATCAAAAAATGTAAGTAATAATTTAATATTTGCTATTGTACCAACTTTTATGGAAACTACAGTAAACTATCCCAATAAACACTGGAAATGAAATTCCTGTTAGTGGAAAATCATGCAGGAATGAGGGTACTAGGGCCTAGACCGCGGGAGCTAGCCCGTTAATCTCTCCTGAGCGTTTATATCAGGAGCAATCGAGAAAATGACAAAATGACGCCCAGATTAAGGACCGTCAGCTCCTTTCACTTGACACTTTCGTCATCCATCTCTGGTCGACCCGTTTCCCAATCTCCAGCATCCTTTCTTCCGCCTTAACTTCTACAGCGTGTCCTCGGAAGAACTTTACATCCACATTCATTCCATACAAATTTTACTTATCAAACGAATTATTTTTCCTATACTCTTTAAAGTGGATCATATAACGCATCCATCGAGGACACGCTGTATATATATCCACAACCATTTCAAATACATGTTTTATTGAAATGTTGGTATAGATTTAGTCAACTAATAAACTAGAGTGAAGGGGCTATTTTCCATTGTAGGGCGAAAGGGACGCGCTGTATAAGTCCCCGGGCTAGTCCCAGCTGGTGTAGGATCGTTCTTCTCGTCTTCTAATTAGTGCGACGCACAAATGTCTCTGTCGTGGCTTTAAGCGATTTATTTTCATTTTCAGTAGCATTGGGACTTCCGCGCGTCGCAGGCTCTCGTTTCCACAAGCTGTTTTAGAAAACGGGGAGGACGAAGATTACGAAAAAAACGGGTATAAAAATAGATTCCATAGGAGAATTTGTGCTGTATTAGTCACATCCCAGGTAGGGCATTGAAAGAAAATTCCATACTTTAGAGTAACATTGGAATAAATTTAGTTTATCACGCTTAACAATTAACATATAATTTGTAAATAAATTATCCTATTTATAAAAAAACATACAAAATTTTATCACAGTTTTAAAATATTTCTTTGCATTCGCTCAATACGTTGGGGCAGAATTTTTTGGCGTAATATAGATAAGGTATATAGACGTTTTTTATGTTGATCTTAATGCCTCTGGTTAGTTTGTTCCAATTGTGCGTGGCCGTTGCGTTTTCCGCTAATTTCAGGGTATCTAAGAAATGTTCCTCCTGGAACATCCACATATATTTGTCCCAGAATACCGGATAGAAGTCCTTCGTCGGGTACAATTTGAATCCTTTGCAAGTCTCTTCAGTCATGTTGGGAATCACCGGTGTCGTGCATATAGACCGTAATAATCTAAAAAAAATAATGTCCAATGCACGGGACGATAACTCGAAAGGTTGAAGAGACTATACCTAGTGATCACTCCAACGCTGCTGTTAGCCCAGTCTTTTCCTGTAAATCCAACTCTCAAATCGTTGAGGCACATATCAGCCCATTGGTGACCGACACCATCGGGCTCGAATCCTAGAATTCCTGCTGCTACGAACGAAGTAGATTCAGGACTCGCGAAATTCGGTTTCAGTTTCTCCAAAGTTTTCAACGTTATCGTATCTAAATCTAAATAAATACCTCCGTATTTCCATAAACTAACATACCTAAAAATTAAATAATCATTAACAATAATCAATGCAACTATAGTTCTTATTCGTACATACCTAAGGATATCGCTAGCGTGTTCGATGGAATTTAACGAATTATCCAATTTCTTAGAGGTGTACAACTCCTCGACTGGCGTGCCCTTGGTGTATTTTGCGAAGTCCAAGTGCATGATTTTTACATTGTCGTATTTCATCAGCGCTTGCAGGTACAAATCCGATTCGTCGCCTTCCATTTTTATTTCACCAGGCGAGGTGTAGAGAAGATAAACGTCGAGATTGGGATTCAGCCTAGCAGCGCTTTCCACGGCGCAAGCTTGACGTGCTGTTATAGAGATTTTCCCATTGTTGTAAGATATACATGAGGTTTCGTGGAAAAATACAGATTTTCCTCGTTTGGGGTTCACCGATGAGATATCCGGCAGAGTGGGAGCATTTTGTCGAAAACAATCCACCGAATTTTGAGGTACTTTCGGAGTTACGGTTGCTTTTTTGGTAGTTACAGTTTGAGCTTCTGTATGAGGCGTTCTTGGAGCTTCTTCTTTTTGAGTTGTAATGGGCTTAGTGTCTGACTCCGTCATAGTTTTCCAGCTCAAGATGTGAATCGAATAAATTAATACAAAAAATAATACGATAGCGAGGTAGAATGAAGTCGAACGAACGAAAACCTTGTTGTTCATCATATCGATTACCTGAAATATATAAATTTTCATTATTAGAACTAAAATCTCTCTAATTTGATGATAAAAAATTTTTTCACGACCCAGGTAAGTATGTTGTTATGCAGCGGAAAATTTAAAATACGACAACAATGCAAGGCGATATTCTTATTAGCAGGGAGTAAAATGCATGTGTGTTGGAGTAAGACGGGGATAAGCCATTACACGGCGTGTTTATTTGAACGTATTCTCGTAAATAATAAGTCGCAGTGGTTAAATTACGTATTCTTTTGCAACTTGAAATTTTCATAACAAAGACCGGAGGATCTTTCACATTCGACGTCGTTTGGTATAATGCAAAAAGGCATCAATTAGAGCACAATATTGGCGCAAATATGTTGATTAATGCAGCAAGAATTATATATTTATGAATTTAATTTTATAGATTGCATGTAACGAATTTTTGAGTGATTGTATGGAGTTGTAATGTCGGAGAAAATGCAACAATATTGTACCAACCGACGTTAGTGAAATTCAACCTTCAGTTTGCGAGTTGAAATTTTCATAACAAAGCGGCGCGGCGGCGAGGCCGTCCCTCGAAATTCGCAAATAATCCAAAAAGGAAAAACGACGGCTCTTCTTCGGGCATATATCACTCCACGGTGCAGTTTCTGCGGGGTTATCACGCTCTGCAGGGACGCGCCAGATCATTATCGCGTCATTTTTATGATTGCCATTAAGGTCTTCTGGCCCGATTCGTGTAGGACAAACGGCCAAGACGCAACTTCGGTATGTAAATGCACACGTCTCCGTAATCGGCGGGTACGATTTAGCAACTTGTCCATACGCTTATTCCTATAGAGACGTTATTGGAGTTGTTAAAATTGGGGTAACTGTGATATTTTCCTCTTATAGGAGATAAATTAGTGATTGTGCGGGTTGCAACTGATGGTTAAGAAAAATTAGGGAAATGAATAAAAAATGTTACCTTGTCAATTTTAATATTCCATTCACTCGCTACGAATTGTACTGATAAACTTTTGGACATAACTAGGACCAGGTTATAATAGGTATTTATTATGTTTACGCTAATAAATATTTATGTATGTACACTTATGAATATATTGACTAAAAGATTAAGCCGTTTCTTATCTACACGTATAATACCACGCAAAATAAATTTAAAGCGAGCTCGAAAAATAATGAGGGACTATATTATTATTTTTTTAATTTAGAGTTAATATTTTTGTACGAAATCTAAATTTAGAAGTATTTATTAGATGCATTACAAAAACATTTTTTATTATTTTATTAAGGTGTTTTTTAAATTTTGTCTATTTCCAAATATTTTTATTTTTATTTCATATTATTATAAGAATTACTCTTATCTGAAAACCGACGTTTTGATGAACATATAAAATTAACAATTTGTAATTCTATTTATCAAGATAAGCGCGTATTTATAAAAGGGGGATTACCAGAGAACGAGCAATTCACATCATATTTTTAAAGACAAAAGTACAAGATCAACCGTTTATTTCGTGAAAGCATTTGCGTACTGCACGAATAAATTTCTTAAGCCGGAGTGGTGCGGATGTGTTTAAGCCCTCGTCCGCGGTTCGTTCAGATAACTCACCGGCTCGCGCAATAAAGGCGACACATCAATTCCAAACGTAACGAAATAAGTTCCTGGTTTAAAATAAAAACGGCGGGACAAAAAAGGCGCACCGGACGTGTCTCGACTTAAAAACGTCCCACTTTCTTGTGTGCATTCGCTATCGCGATGCAGATGATGTATGACCTCGTTCCAGCTTTGCTCGCTATCCCCGGGGACGAATTTTTGGGAACGAGTTCTTCGGTTTTTTTTCCTACCCGGCAAAGGCAACAAAAAATAAATTGGATTGTTTCTCGGCGTTCGCGACGAAACGACCGCGGAATATTTCCAGGTCGTTATATTGTAAATCAAACGACGAGCAACTCGTTAAACATTCACGACCGGGGGACTTTTCCGAAAACCGGAGAAAGGCCAAACGATCGCGCCGGATTTTCCGAAAATGGCGCAACGTTTAATTGGGCTCGACGTCGATTTCTTCGCGAGATCCCCCGGACTCATTAGCCGTCGTTAATGAGCGAGGAATCGAATAAATCGTGGTCTTCCCAGAGAAGATAGCGGACCTGTTCGGACAAGCGAAGAAGTTGTCGTCGATTGTAATATCAGTTGTACAGGGGGCGGTTTAAGTGCTATGCCATGTCCCTACCAGCAGGTGCTAAGAACTATCAGAGATGTTCGTACACGCATCCATTCACGACGATCACTTATCGACACCTCCGCTAATTTCACTAACCCTTTAATGGTGATATCCGACTATAACGTAGAAAATTAATTCAAATATATTAGTGTGCCCCTAGTTATATCTTTTAAAATGCGTCGAATAACCACTTTTGAATCGAAAATAGTACGTTCTCCATCTAAATATAACGTAATAAATGAAGTAGTAGAGCTAAGCGCCAAACGATTTATTGCTCAAGGCCCGTTGAAAAGTAAACTACCTTAGCGGGTGAACAAATAAACATGGCAACCATCAGGCGATGCTTTACACGATACACGCGCTCTTCTTCTCCGCGGGCGTCGGCGTCGATTTGTATTTGTTACACGTCTAGGCGTCCTATTGTGGCTGCTCCAGAGTTACCAAACATTTTTTTTCACAAAAATTCTGTCGCTTATCTAAATACTTTACTAACAGGCTACTAGGATTTAAATGCGTTCATGCTACCACTGGCAATTTGTGGTGAATACATTCGGATTTTTGATTTTCGGTCGAGGCGGATTCTAAAAGCGAACGATTCATATGTAGTGGCAATTTGACGTTTTTTTAGTCGTTGACAAATTTTGTTTAGGCCCGTTTCAGATGACGCGTTCAGATGACGCGTTCAGATGACCCTTCGCCCTACGTCACGCGTTTTGGAAACGCTTGATTTTGTTTTAACATGAAGCAGTATTAGTATGGACGTCTCCGATTACACATCAGGCGTTGTTGCCATTGCTGCATATTTGGTTATTAAAAACCGTTTTCGTGGGTTCAAAGTTTTCAAAAAACAGGTTCCTCCTGTTCCCGATTTCCGTGGTAAATCGGAAGCACCCAAGTCAATAGAAGTACATCAGAACGCCATTTCTGTGCTTCATTCCAGATCGGGCCATCCTTATAGGCTATAGGTGCGATAGAGACAACTTCCATTAGACATTTATAAAGGAAAAAGAAACAGTGACGTCTGTGTCATTGCAACTTTTCACTCTGACGACTGTGCGGTCTGAATTGAAGCAATCTATCTATATGAATCTTTCGCTTTAGAAACCGTTGACCGAAAATCAACAATCCGCCTCAAACCCCCAAAAACATTTCAAACGGTTGCACAAGGCACGTTTGAAAAACGAATTTTACTCTGAATTACGGTGTAAATTAACAAAGTATCTGTTCTTGGGAAAATAAATTGTAAAGTTTTAGAAGCGCTGTAAATACAAGGCAGCAAACAGGGCGTATCTGTTCACAGTGTATTTTAAAATGTCACGATATCTATTAGATTTATTTGTATTTTGGTAAAATTCAATAACATTACGTGTCATAGACATAGAGGCCCGGTTGCTCGTACGCGGATCAAAGTCGGATCAACTGATCTCGGATCAAAGTCGGATCAAAATTGATCCGCGTACGAGCAACCGGGCCCATATCTTTCAATAGATTTATTTATAGCCGTATATTTACGTTAAATGTTTGCAATCATAATATTTTTTTTTTGGATATTGATTAGATTGTTAAGATTATATTGAATTTTAAATTATAGCCCCCATACATATGCATATTTCACCCGAAGGAATTTTTAAATTCTCTTACCGTTTGCCCACAATACTCCGTCCCGTTGAGCGTGACGCACCCTGTATAGGTACTTATTAATATTAGATTACTTACATATACTATGTGATATTGAACAAGGAAATTTTTATATATGTCAACTACTTTAATATTCTATGTTGAATGAATCCGTATACTTGCAGTTTCGTTTAAAGCTTTCGGATATTGTACAATCAGTAGATAAAATAGATAAAATCTATGCGCTTATAAACCTTGTACCTATAATAGATAAAAATTATGGTAAACCAACTGCTGATAATTTATATACACAAACCCGGCTAATTTAAAGGAACAGATTAAAACCAGTATTTAATTTTAAATCTGACATCTTCGACTTGATCTCTTCTTCAACAGGTACATGATACATTTTTGTGAGAAATGTTCCAATTACTTCCCCTAACCTTGTGTTAAGAGATTATGTTAGAAATATTAACAATATTCATAGAGAAAATACTTAGATTTTATATAAGTTACTTTAAATATGCCGGTGTGTGTATTATTATTGGTACCTATATATATTTTGAATCATTTTAGACGTTTTACTGTCAGACAATTCTCTGATTTTTCCTGATAATAGAACGTTTTTCAACGTTTCATTCCATGAAATTTTACAAGTAAAACGAATAAGCCCTTTACCCCAATTTCCAATTATTCCAAATATCAAATAAAACGAACGAACTCGTCACATCTATCGCATTATTCGTTGCGGCATTATAAATCTCTTTGGCGACTCGAACAAAATAAAAAAGTGATGATTGGATCCCTTAAACTATCAAAAGACCTAACCTATAAATCTCGCGGCTTGACGAGATACCCGAGATATTCAAATAGAACTCGCGAGAAGGCTCGAGAGGTCTCAAATGTGAAAAATGTCCGGTTTTCAGTCAGTGCTGGTCCACATAGAAAGTATAGGCGCCTAGTTATCAGTTCAGATTTCTTAGAATTCATATTTGAGTTTGAGTTTTCTAGTACTTAATATATAATTAACCTATAGGTACTTAAAATTTAGAAAAGTTTGCTTGAATTAGATTAATTCAATCATTCTTATCTACTTATTTGGTTAATGGAGTAAATAATGCTTAAGTAGAAATGATGATTCAAATTAAAATGAGCATTTTTGTGAAACTGACGAGTCGCTCATGTGGAAAGATAAATCTTCACGGTATCAGGTAAAATGTAAAACGTAATAAGTAGACACTAACGGTCCCGAAGATTTCCAACAATGATTTACTTAATTAAACGTCCGATTTCTTCGGTTCGAGAGTCGCATACCAGAAAAATTCCTCAAATGGATTCTTCTTCTCTCGAACGTTTCATTTGGGTTCGATCGCTCGCCGAGATTACCTCAAAGAAATCGTTCCTCGGCCGAAAACGCCGGGCTACTCTCCTAGCATTTCGCTCGTATTCGGACTAGAAATCGAACGCCAGTTTCTTCCTGGTTGCTGTTATAAGTCGGGGGAATAGCAACAAACGCAAATCGCACACCTTGAAACCGGCCGAGTTTCACGATTTAATTAACAAAAGGACGGGCGCAAAAGGTACGATAGGATCGGGTCCCGACTTTTCCGCGGTTCACCGGCTGATTTACGGCTACCAAATATGGACGAACGAGTGCCGATGGCGGTCCGGCGAAAGACCCGAAGATCGGCCGGTTAATTACCGATTGGCAGCGGTGAACGCTAGTGACGTATGTCCGAGAAACATCCTGCTCGTTGGCCCTTTAGCCGACGGGGCCAGCAGGAAGATTTATGGAAGAACGTCGAAGCACCGCCGAAGAGTTATTGTGATTGTTTCAAATATTTTGCATGCGCTCACCGGCGCTGCTGGTTCGACTGCATCCACCGAAATTCGAATTTATTCGCCTATTCACTGAAACTAGTCCTCGCGGTCGCTTTATCAATCACGTCCGCGTGTATTTTTTTAACGAGCAAAAATAAAGGGAAAAGCTATTTTTTCAGGTACGTCGGCGATAAATTCGTCAGATGACAGGCCGAAAAAGCGTCTTAATATTTTTACAAGCGCATTTTTTTCACCACGTTTCGGTTACATGTGAGCGTGTATTCGGAACTGAGATATCTTGTCTTGCGTCAACTTGACTGATGACTTTATGTTAACGAAAACAAGCCACATTTGTTGCTGTGAATACTAATTTCGATTCGCGGCATTTCGAAAACTAGTGAGAATTATCTACAATACAATCTTACAATTCTCATTGTCATATGTAAGTGTAGGACTTGATGTAATATTGAATATCGAACCAAAAGTAAATAAACTGCAACCTATGTACATAACGCGCTAATCTAATCATTTTCACCGAACATGATTACAACACCGTTCTCATAATAGCAATTAATTCAAACTGTATCTTTTAACCAATGCGAAAATTTTTCCATCGTTAATAATTTGATATTGAAGAGTCCAAAAGAATTAATACAGTAGCAATAGAAACCGATTTTTTTATTCGTTTTGAATTAGAAACTATTTCCTATTAGCATTTTCCTTATAACTGTGTCGCGCGTGTAAATTGCAAAACACATTTAAATGTAGACAACTGAGAGGAAAAATTGATAAATAACTCGAAAGAAAGTCTTTATCTTTCGACTGAAAATGTCGCGAAACATCTGGTGTGTGATTCGAGTTGGGTTCGAGAACAAATCGATTCTTTCACTTTTTCACATTTTTAAATATTCCGACGTTTTATCGAAATTTATTACTCATTATGCGTTATCGTAATATATCCAATTAATATTTAATAAAAGTAAGATATTAATAATTTATTAGACATACTATTTTGAACAACAAAATTTCGAATTGTGATCGAGTATGATAATTCCATTCACCATGCAATCAATTAAAGCTCCGCAAAACGTAATCGATTAAAATGCCTAAAAGTTTCACTTCGCACAAAATTTTGCGTTAATTGATTTTTGTCCAAACAAAAATTTACAAGCCCTGTTATAACCAATAAAAGGCAAAAAATGTTCCATACCTACATATTATAATATTTACGTAATACTTTCACTTAATTACATCGCTTCCTACTGAGCCTTTCTTAAAAATTCCCTTCAAGTTTAGAGAAAATAAAATCATTTCGCTCTCACAGTGCGAAATTCATCATACTAATTCGTTTCATCGAACATTCCACCACATTTCTAAAACAGTAGCTGTTATTCATGATAATCTATTCATATGAATAGATAAACTATAGGTAGATATTATAAATTATAGAATTGTTTACTAAATTTTTTAACTTAATTGAAACAATGGTACCTACAAAATTAGTTAGCATATTGAATAAAGATGTATCTAATAGTAAAAAATTATAAATACAAAACTTGGTGGAATATTTAGGCTAGCTGTTACTAATTCTTCTTCATTGACGATTCGGCTAGATAAAAGAAACAAACCTGAGACTGTGAAAGTTTTTCCATAAACGGTCACGGTCGCTAGACTGTAACAAAAAAACTCGAATATAGGAGTCCCATGTACCCACTAATTAAATTCAATCCGTAGAAGAATTTTTAGACTTTCATCCGCCGAATGAATCGCCGGCAAAACTCCTGCAAAATCGCTCGAGCTATCCATCAATTCGCTGTACGCGGAGCAATATCGAATTCCTTATTGTGCCACAACAAAACCCAAACACTATCTAAAGATGGATTTCCCTCGGCTTGTATCTCTTGTTTTGCGTCTCGTCTTTCCTTTTGGCGGCTGTCTCATCTCTAATTACAGCGCAGCAATTCGAGATTAGGCATTAATCTATCCACTTCTGTCGTCTCGCGCTCAGTAACGTACCGATCCTTTCTGCAGGAATCCCACGAAAATAAATCCACCAAAAGCTATTCGGTTCAAGAAAACTTATGAACAAATCAAGAAATATCCAAGAAGTTATATAAGTTATATACCATATAAATAAATTTGATTTGGGTGTAAATAAATCTCTTCCGCACTTTAAGCTGCTTTTAATTATCTCTTAATGGCGACACCACTCTCGTGGAAAATAAAAAAATCATTCGAATTTAACTCAAACGGCACGTATAAAATCGCGCACCGCAATAAAGTATTAAGGATTTGGTATATACTTACACTAAAAGCTCGAATTTAATAAGTATATACGTCCAAGCGAAGAACTTTATTACCCCGTCTTCTTATAGAAACTCGTTACTATGCAAAACCCCTTTTTAAAAATAATGCACGTTATCCCAAATATTTTGCGATATATTTACAAAAAAATAATTATTATTGAGCGTAAATTAAGATGGATTTAATTAAATGTATAAAACACCACGTCCTAGAGCGCCCTAATAAATTCCATTTTCATTTTAGTGTATTTGTAATCGCTGATAAATATTTATAGTCCGCATAATTATTATCGCCATGCGATTGACTGGACAGGCCGGGCTCGAAATTTATGTTGCATGCTAATGGTAAATGAGTCAAAACGTAGACAACACAACCTCAACCTCCGATGCTCAATGTGTCTTCATTAACACTACAACCAGCGCAATTTTATTTTTGATGACACCTGCTCACGATACGCCCATTTGCATTTCGTTAATGCATATATAGCTAGTACAGAGTGTTCTTCGACAAAGAAATATTACTGTAATATATTTTGAACGTATGCAACTAGGAGTTTCAATTATAATACATCCCGTTTTAAGGGCTCAATATGCTGTCTCAAAATTGATTACGATGAAATGGTAACTATAAAATTTGGGTTTTTAATGTACCTACTAAGTAATACATATATCCTAATGTAAAGTTTATTGTGTTAAGTGTAATCTCCTGCTTTCTATATGGGTTTAATGTTCCTGACCTAGAGCAATAGATTTGGTTTTATGGTCGTTAAATTTGCTAAAAAAGAGCATTCGCGAAAGTAGAAGCATATCGAACGTTGATAATAAAGATTTGGAAAGTCGGTTAAAATTCAATGCATAAAAATTCATGTGGATTATAATAACAAGGCAGCGATCATATCGAATGTAATTAGGTAATTTAATATTCTTCCTTCATTACGAGAATAATTGAAAGTCATCCGTCAAGGTGAATTTCGCACATGTTGTAATCTCTCGACCTGAAACAATGCTTTTAGCGGAATCATAAAACATCTTTATTGTACTAGATAATCTAAAACTAACAAGAATCTATAATTTCTAAATCTTTTTGAACCTAGTCTGTTTGAACCTATTAATTTTTAGTACAAAAATTGTCACTACATTTATCGAAAAACCCTTCTATTGTATAAGTGTAATTAACAAAAAAAAGTATCAAATGACATGCACAATGTTATAGAGATCGTATCACCGATACTAATAACAGCGATTCCAGTTCACGAACTGGTATTAGATACACATCTATAGGAGAGGTGATTGTAAATCGTGAGTAAAACAACTCGAGGTTTTTATTAATTTACTTTCCTGCGCTCCAACAATGTAATAACGTAACAGTTAGAATGTGAGATAGCCGTTTGCTTCCTCGAGTTCTTCTGACTTATACTTTCATCCGGATTCACTGTCACTTTCGATGAATCGCCTACTAAATATTCTTGCGGTGCTGGTCGATCGGAATTTTTGCCGTTTTTTTCCCTAAGTACTGGAAAGTACGCCATTTATCAGGATCGTGTTCTAGGGTTGGTCTGCAGCCCGCAGGAGACAAATGTAAATAATAGTATATCGCGTTTGTAGGTAATGGTTATTTATGAAAAAAATATTGTTGTTATCGGTGTAGAAAGTATAGATTTATATGGATTTTGTTGTTTACAGGTTCACAATAAGATTTTCAATATTTGAAACCCTTTTTATACACATAATCAATCACATAATAATTTATCTACACATAATGCAATTAAATGAAATATTAAAAATTCTTATATAACTACTTCTTATCCTTATCTATTAATTTTTGTACAAATAATCCTTTATTTCTAATCTCTGTAAGTAGCAATTCCACGTATCCATTTTATAGATTTAGGTATTAAACGATTGTTATTTTTAGTTTACACTATAACAATTTCTAACTAATCTATTAATTCTTAATAGAATCATTAATAATTTATTGCATGGTAAAATTTTTTGAAAACTACAAATTATTAAAAACCGTCATCGAAATTGGCACTTAATTAAGCCGTGTATCCGACTGGTAACATTAAAAAATAGAAAGATTATAATTAGGTATTAATAAATTTAACATCCAACAATAATGTCGGGCCCAATTTTGTTTACACAGAAAGACACACACATTTTTTTTCAAGTTTAATAAAGAAAACCTTTCACTCCGCAAACACCACCTCGCTTCACCTATAAATTTGGATTCCACGTTCGTGTCTTCATCAGTTTCTTGCAATTCATTAGAAGTGATCGACTTTTACCGTCTAATTCGCAACATGAGGTTCATTGTAAGTAAAAAAAATCGGAAAAAGTTTTTATACGTTTAAGATTGATACGGCAAATTGTAGTGAAATAGTGCTGTGTTCATGGAGTCGTTGAATTTGTGAAAATTGTTTTAAACAAACAGAAAAACCCCAAAATAATTAATTTAATTATTGTCTTTACAATTTTTATCGGTAGTTTCGATATTTGGTTCATTTATTTTTAGTAATTCTCTAAAATTACATTGTCTTAACAGAAATAATCAAATTTTCATCTATGTAGATCTCTTCGTATTGTTATCTTAATTAAATTAATCACTGTACAGTAAAATGTCAATAATTAAATTTTAACTCAAAATAATTTTTTGAGCTGTTTCGTTAGCTCACGCACGAATTCCATAAACCCATATCGAATTCAAAAAACATCTTCATCATAATTACCTTCAAAAATGTACATGTGTTTAAGCAAATGTGGTATGAAGGCCTTGCCTGTTATATTAATTGTGATAAAAGAACAAAATATCAGACAAAAAATGTACTGATGTATTATTATTATCTATTCATTCATGCAGAACTTTCATACATGAATCAGATTTCACCGGAAGATAATTTGAAACCTATTAGAAATGTCTGCTGTATGGTTTTTTTTGCTACCTTTTTTTCCAATAAATACACCCAGATACCTCATAATTAATAGTCACTTACGAGCTTCTTAATGCTTAGAAAGTTGTTTACTGACTCTTCGAAACTTACACGATAGATTATTATTACTAATTTTTATTAACCTATTCAATAAAGGGTTCAAGCATCCTCGTGGCAATCACCCTAGGTCTGACCTCAGCGGGCTACGCCCACGAGCACCATGACCTAGGAGGCGGCCACGACATTGGAGGCGGCCACGACCTCGGCGGCGGTCACGATTACGGCAGCAGTCACCAGGACTTGGGAGGAGGAGGACACGACGTCGGAGGCGGCCACGACATCGGAGGCGGTCACGATTACGGCGGCGGCTACGCGGCGCAACACGGCGGCTGGCAACCGTCCGTGCACGAACAACACCACCACATCCCCACCAAGACCATCGAGCACACCGAGCACGTCGCCGTGCCCGTCGTCAAGAAAGTGGGAGTACCGGTGCCCCATCCCGTTGGAGTACCCGTGCCTCAAGTAAGCTACAATTTAATTTTTTTTATAAGTAATTATTGTAATAATCGGGGTTTGTTTTAAGGTGATTAAAGTACCAGTTCCTCAACCTTACGCCGTGCACGTGCCGGTGCCGCACCCCATAGCAGTGCCGATCTACAAGCTGGTGCCGCAGGAGATCGAAAAGAGAGTTCCCATCACGGTGGAGAAGCTGGTGCCCGTGTACGTGGACAAGCCGTACAAGATCGAAATCGAGAAGCACCATCCCGTGTACGTAAATCAACCGTATCCCGTGCACATTCCCGTGTACAAACACGTGTTGCACACGAAAGGACACGGCGGCGGCGGCGGCGAACACCACGGATGGTCGCATTAAGGAAGCCGACTGTTTGTTTTCGTTATCGCTCTATTCTAAGTTATCGATTTCATCTGTTCATCCCTCTGAAACCATCTCGTGTTTGCTCTAAGTCATTTTTCCGTAGACTGTACTGTATCTTGTTAAGTTTGATTTTTTTTTGTTAATAAATTTATTTCTATAAAATCGGATTTTGTTTTCTAGTTCTCCACGAAAATATTTAACATTCTCAAAAAATATAATTGAAGGCTACAGGGGAATAACGACAATAGTACATTTTTTTGCAAAACTAAGTTCACAGTTTATTTTTATAGCATTTTGTAGTAACTATCAAATAATGAAATCGTTAAATGGTAAAAAGTCTGCAAAACAACAGCTAAATAATACCATAAATTTCACTTTCTAACGAGTAAGTAAACTTATATTTTAATGTTTCTCGATAATCTTTTGGATGGACTATTGTCGTTCTTCCCCTGTACCCTTCGATTATTATTTTAGTGAAGGTAAAATTGCCTATAAGATTCAAACACGTATGCTCGCTCCGGTTATGTTATAAAATAGAATGCAGGGCAGATGCCATTGAACCTTCCTCAAGAGATACTTTCTCCGCAATGCATATCCTAGATCACAGTATTTGGTCCACCGGTAATTCTAATTAGTAATTAGCGACCGTGAAATTATCGCGGAACGTACCAACTGCACGTATGTAATAAAATTAATTAATACGTATAAAAGTAAATTTATTTAGCAAATCGATTCCAGTAAATAATCCAAGCAGGAGTTGACAATCCAGTTAAGGAAAAAAATACGTATCGATAGTTATCCACCGTTGACCCCCGTAACCCTTGTGGCTATAAATCCGGCCCTGGGTATTTCGCCGGAACGAGTTTTCGTGAAAAGAGCGCCGGTTTTCCCTCGTGGTCGTGATTTATCGCTCGAATGGATTTTGTTTGGTTTCATTTGGTTTTCCCTTGGTCTGTGTACAATGAGGAGCGCGGGGATGGATGAGTGCCACCCTCGGCCCTCCGAATAAGGAATTCCAATACCCGGCACAGGACGACGAGCCGGTTTTTTCACAGTGGCGGGCTTTTTATATACTTGTTTTTCCGTTTCCTTTAAAACTTACATAACTCCCATCAGAAGGTTCTATTTTACACAGATAAATGCAATTTTTTGCAATATGAATTAAACAAAGAAAGTAAAATAAATGTAATAGTTAGAGTGAGAAAGTTATAATCCCACAATATCACTCATTCTTTATCTTTTATATGAGACTAATGAAAGCTGTCCTTGTTGCACCCATAGACCATATAATTTGCACTTACCCATGTATAAAGAATAATAAATCATGTAGGAATTGATATGCAATTGATAACATAGTAAAAGGAGCAAAAGAAGCTTGGATTAATTGATCAATAATTTAGATGATTGACTTCTGGTATTACTCATTAAAAATTAATCGTCAGAAGAAAGTTGATCGATTTCCATTTATGCGAGGGATTGGTCAATAAAGAAGTTCGAATAAAAAAAAACTAACAGAATGTCCACAAATAAATTTATAAGCGTATTATAGATTAACAAAAGTGAAATTCGCGCATGATTAATTAATTTAAACGCCATAATTAAAAGATTAAAGAGAAATTTTACATTGGTTAAGTAATCATTATTCGTTGTTTTTCAATAGGAATTTAAGCAAAAAATGTACCGATATCATCAAATGCATTTAGTTAGGAATCACCTTGTATACGAATCCATTCCCTTCCTACGGTGATATTTCCATTTTTTGCCTCTAAGTAGGTATATATACGTTCAGGAAGCTAAAATTAGAGAAAGTTTCTCCGATTCCATCCCCCCCGAGATCCCATTAGATCCGGGAGGCAATCAGAGATATGCCCGAAATGTACCGAAATTGCCGTCTCCCCTCGGCCCGCGCCGCTCGCATTCCAGACGTCCCGCTTCTCCCGGTCGCTATCAAATCAAACTGTGTAGATTATTTCGGGAGATTTGATTGAATGTAACCCTCCAGACATCCATCATGTTTAGTGAGCCACCGTACAACGGCTTCCAATGATCTGACTTCTGTTACTCTAAATCCCGGAACGGCGGGGACCAGCGGCCGATCCCCCGGGATATCCTTTCTCTAGCTCTTAGGAATTCCTTGTGCTGTTGTAGAGGTGGAAGCGGGTATTTCATGATTAAAAGTCGTTACTGTCACTTTAGTAAATTGTAGATTATTATTGCTTCTTTTTCGCTGAATTTATTAGTTTGGGTTTATAGGATAATTTTGGTCTAGGAGTATTTGGGACATATTGATTGATGTTTAAGGCTAATTTGGGGATTAAAATAAAAATTGGTGAGTATAAGAAACATATTGTTCTGTATTGGTTATTGGTTTGATTAGTGTATCGTGAATGTAGTGATTTTGTGAATAAATTATAATTTTTTTGGAGGTCCCATCTCTATGTTTGTGTAGAATGCTTTCTGAAATACCGTTCGTTGTTACAAACGCTATAGACATGCTTTACGGGGTATTAAATTATTTGTTGGTATTGTGCTTTTTTGTGTTTTGTTTTATTCGCTGCGTTATTGGATTCCGCCGGATTCCGGATGAAAATATTGGAAATGAACGAATAAAAAGAGTCGTTTTTTCTATTTCCTCTTCTAACGACGTTAACTACCTGAAAATCCTTTCGATTCGCTCGGCGATACGATATGATTTCTTGTAGAAAAAAACGAAATTCGAGTTAAATTCCAAGCGGCCGAACCGGTCATTATCTTCGCGCGATACCGCCCAATCAAAACCGATTCCGTCGGAACTCCAATTTTCTCTAATTTGCCTCCCATACGTACGATTTTTTCGGAGCGTTCGTGTCGAACCAACCCTGATATTAACCAATAACTACTACACATCAGGTAAGCCTCGGCCGGCACGTAATCGTTGTTCTTTTGTTTTTGAGGTAGCAATCAAATAAAATTATACCGGCTGCTAGATTAGGTATTTTTCGGCTACCACTCCCAGATAATTTGGAAAAACACCATTTTGTTGATAGATAGGGGGTGTGGTCGCTTCCACTTGTGTACCGAGTTTTTATTAATTCTTTTCAAGCCATATCTAGGTGAATACTCTCATTATACTCTTATTATTCCTTATTATCTTCATATTACTCTTATTACACCTATATTACTCTAACGTTTATTGTATCTGCATATAACTCCTGGAAGGTGGAAGAGTAATGTAATTTTGGTTGGATTGAGGACGGGATTTTTTTTCTCAGTTTTAATCGATTGGGTGGCTAATGGGTTGGCATTGGCGAAACGTCTCCATTAAGCGAGCCGTGGCCGGTGGTGTTATCAGCACGCGTGTCACGAACTTCTAATTAGTAGTGCGCAATTAGTGGGCAATCACCAAGGGCCGAAGCCGGTCCATATCTCTCCGGCCATCTTCACTTTGTAGTGCGCAGGATCTAGAGAAAACATTCACAAAAAACATGCAGAAGCCGAAAAGAAGAGCCTAAAAGTTTGGAGGTTTGGGTTAGAGAGAATGGGAAGGAGTGGTGAAGATTTTGGGGAAAAGCTTTATCAATAGTTGTTGTTAGAGTTGAGTAGAATAATACGTGTTATCTGAAAGATATCCCCAGTAAGTAGTAATGTAGCAACTTTTACTCAACGATACTAAATCAGAGATATTAAATGATGGCTTTTTTTGGGGATAATCGTTTTTGATTTTTGTTGGTACCTTCGTGACTAAAAGTTTCGTGACTGACGAGCAATGATAAGCGAATTAGTTCGACACACATGCCATGACCACCTACGCCTCTTTTTGCCACTCCCGATGACAGCATCGTGGACGACAAAGAATAATTATGTGCGATAACTATTAAATAAAAACACTCGCGAAATACGTTGCACAAGAGCAAGAATTTAAACGAACAATGAGCCACACAATTGGTTGATCGTATCGATGAAACGGATATTTTTCGATCAATTAGGTAGCATTCATTTGCACTATTTACTGCTCACTTCAATCTATTGCTACAAATTTAATGTGTTGTTATTTTTGGAACACCCTATATTTCATCAAAATAATAATCTGGAATTCTTATAGATTTTACTTATATGCATTAAAATCAAGCATCAATTACATTCATTAATTAAAAATTAAAGCGATTAAAACAAACGATTTAAAAGTCATAAATAGTTTTATTGGATTATATCCAATTGTAAAACAAACTATAAAATTGGCGGAACAAATAGAGGTAATTAAAATTTTTCATAGATGATCTTCTTCATTAGTATCACTCTAATTGCTAAGTAAAGTGTTCACTAGGAAGCGATGAAAGCAATTTTATCGCAACAAAACTGTATAATTAAGCTATTAATCACCTAATTAAATTACCGCTAATACAGCAATTATACATTTTTTAAAATTCCATCGGATTGTGTTCGTATAAAATAACTCTTCACATTTTCGTAATTCGTCTGTAAAACCGCATTCCGCATAGTATTTTCTTTTTTATCCTTAATTAAGTTTTTCATCGCTTCTTCTAGTCTCCCGTAATACTTATTAAGATTTTATCCTCGCAGGTAAGTTATGGAACCTCTAAAGCAGTCATAATCTCGTAATAAAATTTTAATTTGAGGCTAAAAGCAATTTAAAAAGCACGTAGAAAAGAATGCAAATATTAACGCAGGATAGGATTGAGGCTTTACACTCTTACTTATATGAAACAATATTAAAGATAGATCTCAAAAGAAGATTGGTAGGTATGTATAGTATATTAAAGAAAATTATACTCAATTTATCTCAAACGACAAGCGCGAATTTCTACAATTAAATACGCCCCTGCGCGAAATTATCAGCTGTTATTTATTTCCTGGATAATAGAAGAAACTCTCATGCCGACCGTTAAATTTCAATAAACGTTTAAATTGAAAATTACAAGTTTCATTCACTCCCGACGAATACGCCGGAACACACCCAGCGCAGGAATAATTACGTTAATGGCAACATCAGCAGAGTTTATCCTGGCATTTTATTAACACGATCCTGGGAAGAGATTAAAACATATTTGCATTACAAAAGAAACAGGTAACAATATTCTAGTTTGGTATAAAAATTG